ACCTCCCCTTCGTCTCCTCCTCCTCCTCCTCCTCCTCCTCCTCCTCCTCCTCCTCCTCCTCCTCCTCCTCCTCCTCCTCCTCCTCCTCCTGCATGTACCATGCTATCCAGCTCCTCTCAAGAGGCTCCCATCCCTCTCCCTTGTCTCCCCATGCCCCACTTCTAACCATGTGCCCCGACACCCTCCAACCCCACCCCTGCCCCCTGCCCCCGTCTCCTCCTGATGCTAACCCCATCGCTGGTGCAGCTGTAAGGTCCGAAAAGCCTCGCGTGTACGGCCAGCGAGCAAGGCCCAGCTTCCGGCAGCACGTCTTCAAGCTCGTCAGCGACATCCCCTGCCATCGTCGTCACCGCGTCCTCCATCGCCCCCAGCAGACAGGACAAGGAGGAGCTTACCAGGGAGCAGGCGGCGTCTTCCTGCCTCATGTGGAAGTAGGGGCTCAGGGAGTCGAGGGTGAGCTGGACGGTGACGGGAGCGTGGTTAAGAGATCTGGCTCTGACGGAGCAGGAGGGGAGGGGAGGAGAGGTCATGGAGGCAGTGTGCTGGTATGCGAGGAAGGTGCGAGGTCAGTGCGGTGAAGCAAACGGCGTCAAAACGGAACAGCATGGACTACTTCAGGCTGCGGGTAAAGCTTCTTACTACGTGACACTTACTTAGGATCGCTGACTGGATGCCTTACAACCCGTGTATTCCCCATGTTCTCGTTGGCTGTGAGGGGGTGGGGGTGTGTGACTAAGCGAACACGTCACTGCCGTAACGACGCAAGTGAGGGTCGGGGTGGATGGATGTATTATCGGACCTACCCTGTTCCCCAGTGATGAGAGGTCAAAGGAGGGGGTGGGTGTACAGGTTTGCCTCCATTGCTGCAACGTTTCGCTCAGCCCATGGACGTGTGGGGGGTGGGGTACTGAGAGCCGATGTGTGGGTTACTACAGTACCAAACTGTACCCGTCAGACGATCTCGCTTGAATCTCGCGGCCGCCGCCGGGCTCGGTGAACCGTCACGGCCGCGAGACATGAGGGGAGACCCGATAGGCTCCGATGGGTAGGTGCCGCGATGTGATGATCGGAAGTCACAAGCTCCGAGCCAGACTCGACGCTGCAAGTCTTTTACTCAAAGTTAAGTTAAAGATCGGTACGAGGTAGAGCGTGTTGCCTGGACTTCGTTGTTTCAACAATCGATCACCGGGAGGACGTGCCTGAGTGGCGAACCCCGATCTACGAGGCATTACTGCTGGCCCCTGGACTCACGGACCCTCACTGAGAATGGAACTGATGGTCCGTCAGATCTCAGGCGAGTTTTGATGATCTCACTTTAACCGGTTTGTTGTGTTCATAACGTTGCCAAAGCAACTGTTCTTGCAGAGAAACAACACAAACATCACTTCCATTGTTTTTTCTTCTTCTTTCAACTCTACAGAGAATCATGCTTGTAGAGAGTGTGTTGCTAAAACTTTTCATCTTGTGTTGCCAGCACGTTTCATTTGTACGCCCAATTCTCAGATTCCTCGTCTCTGTCCTCCTCGTTCTCCTGGTCCTCCTGCACGTACCATGCTATCCAGCTCCTCTCAAGAGGCTCCCATCCCTCTCCCTCCCATCCCTCTCCCTCTCCCTCCTCTCCCTCTCGCCCTCGCTCTCGCTCACCCTCCTCTCCCTCTCCCTCCTCTCCCTTATTCAAGTCTGAAAGACTCGGCAGGACCGAAGCCGATCCCTCCTCCCCTCCTGACACATCCGACTCGCTTGATGCTGCCTGCCTGTCTGTTCCGCCTCGCATGTACGGCCAGCGAGCAAGGCCCAGCTTCCGGCAGCACGTCTTCAAGCTCGTCAGCGACATCCCCTGCCATCGTCGTCACCGCGTCCTCCATCGCCCCCAGCAGACAGGACAAGGAGGGGCTTACCAGGGAGCAGGCGGCGTCTTCCTGCCTCATGTGGAAGTAGGGGCTCAGGGAGTCGAGGGTGAGCTGGACGGTGACGGGGGGGCGATGGTGGATTCTGGCTCGGACGGAGCAGGAGGGGAGGGGAGGAGAGGTCATGGAGGCAGTGTGCTGGTATGCGAGGAAGGTGCGAGGTCAGTGCGGTGAAGCAAACGGCGTCAAACTGAGTTGCGTGCAATCGCTAACTCAAATTCTCCCGAATAAAACTTCTTAAAAAGGTCGAACAAGTCACGGGGCAACGCTATCTCGACTGAATCTCGCGGCCTCCGTCAGCACCTGGTGGCTCATGGCGCACTCTCAGTCGCAAGAATCAGTTATGGCTGGCAGTTACATCACCCGAGGGGCCGCAGTCTTGGGGCCTTTGGAGTTCAGCAATTCCGATGATCCGGTGGCCCGGTCGGACTTTGCCGAGAACATCAGAAATTGAAAGGCGGCAGACAGTCACCCGCGCTGCTCAGCGAAACTCCCTAAGACCTTCGGTAGAAGTACTTCACTGCTCAAAGGCCAGTCAAGTTTCTGACCTCATCATCAGCCGTTCAACTTTTGCATTGGGAGGTTAGACTAGTTCTGACACCCATGGCGGCTGGACAGACATCAAGCAAGGACGACTGTCATATCGTGTGCAATCTCGAGTTGGTCGAGTTTACTAGCGATTCTAGATCAGCGTACATCTAGCCGTTACATGCTTACAGTCCTTTGAGAGTCCTTCGCATGACTTTGTTAACGATCAAGGCTAAGCCTAGCCTTGTCTGTCCCTTACCTTGGGTAGGTCCAATCTGAGTTGAGCTCGCTGTGCTAGGGCTCTGATACGCTCCAGCTGCTGCCTTCTTGGAGATTACTCTCTCAGAAGACTTGGCTTTCAACTTACTGACGATGCTTGTCATCTGACTCTTGCTCACGAGTCTTTTCAGACTCTGCTCTCTGCTTCTGCTAGTCTGCAACCTTAGGACATCGCAAGCACGACTCCCAGAACGACGAATTCGCTTGAATGAAGTCCCCCATGACTTCCATATCATGACGTTCCACAGCAGCGCCTCGCAAGGCACGCTGCGACAAATGGTTACACACAGAGTCAGTGCCAGTGGCCTCTGCCGTGTCTTGAGAACTTCAAGTAGCAACTGAAACACGGTTGCCACATGGTCATGACATCCTTGTTATGTCCAATATCGAGGATTCTGTCAAAGAATCCCTCGAGTCAATGCTCTTTGCTGACCTGGGAGAGCTCCAGGGTGCACGTAAACATGCTTGTCATGAGATCGCATCACATGTGGCGACTGTCCTGCGATCTCCATGCGCCGGAGAACGCGATCTCGTTGGACAGCTGTGAATCGAAGTCTCTTTGACCTCCGCTTCAATCTTGGCGGCGGTATCGTCGCGGCCAAATGTTCATGTGAGGCCCTGCTTCAGCATGTCTTTCACAACTCCTGGGACCACGTTGAACGTAGCCATCCTATGGCACGGCGTGTGTAAGGGATCGAACCTTGATCCCAGCGCTCAGAAGTTGGAGGTTTCTGTTTCGACATTCCATCAGGGCTCCCAGCCGCCGCTTGGAGGCCACCTGCTAGGGGAATGCCGCGTCATATGCTATGTCATGCACGTCCTACAAGACTTCCTTCCATGATTTCCTCGTTGTGTCTTGAACGACTGCCTCCAGGCAGCCATGTCAGTGTTGTCGTTGTCCCGCAAGGCTCATCCAGAACAGTGGAGAGGGGGGAAGACAACACACATCACAAGACTCACTACAACACCAACACTGTCGCTACCGAAGCGTGTCACACTCCGAAGCTTTACGGGTTGCAGACGTCCAGAGCGAAAGCTCAAGGCACCTCTGCTGGATCACACATAGAGGTGTAGTGTAGTGATGTCGAGTCTCGGCCAGCAGGGATCATCCTCTAGAGCACATCTAGCCGTTACATGCTTACAGTCCTTTGAGAGTCCTTCCCCTGACTTTGTTAACGATCAAGGCTAAGCCTAGCCTTGTCTGTCCCTTACCTTGTGTAGGTCCAATCTGAGTTGAGCTCGCTTTGCTAGGGCTCTGATAGAGACGGGATAGCATTAACTTTGTTTTTAAGGATTGAAACATGCGTATTCATTGCCGACTAAGAATACAGAAACCGGTATGATTGATAAAATACTCTTTACCATTTCGCACAGATTCTCTTTCTTTCTGGGCAACTCTGAGCAGGACTGGGTCTTCAGACCCCGTCTAGTTGTTGCAACATGCGAGCATCAAGTGGCTGTTTGTATGACACTGAGTCAGACAATCTGCTCAGCCTGCAGTCATACAATAAGTGAATGGTGCAAAGGAGCAGTACAGGGCAAGTTTAAACCCCATGAGTTCAAGTGACTTCTGTGAGACATCATCGGTGAGAAGCTGAAGAATTTAAGAAGGTGATGGGTGCAATTTTCAATCCCATGGGTTTAATCGTATCTGAGCATGCAGCAGCAACAGGCTTTGGTTTCTACACTAGTGAGCACCCTCGAGGTCAGAGAGATTCTCCTCGTCTCTCGTCATGTACCATGCTATCCAGCTCCTCTCAAGAGGCTCCCATCCCTCTCCCTCCTCCCAACTGCCTTCCAACCGCTGCCCTGTCTCTACCTCTGTCTCGACATGTTCTGCGAATATTCTCTTCTCTCTGCTGATCCTCGTGTCTCCTTCCTCATGGCTCCCTGCTGCAGTCAAGACTGCAGCCGATTCCCGCCCTCCGCCCTCCCCTCCTTTGAGAGGTTCTGAAACAACAAGCTGCTCTTGTGCAGTAGGCCAGCGAGCAAGGCCCAGCTTCCGGCAGCACGTCTTCAAGCTCGTCAGCGACATCCCCTGCCATCGTCGTCACCGCATCCACCATCGCCCCCAGCAGGCAGGACAAGGAGTGGCTTACCAGGGAGTAGGCGGCGTCTTCCTGCCTCATGTGGAAGTAGGGGCTCAGGGAGTCGAGGGTGAGCTGGACGGTGACGGGGGGGCGATGGTGGACTCTGGCTCGGACGGAGCAGGAGGGAACAGGGTTTGTGGTCATCGTGATAACCTTTGCTGCTTGTGTAACGAGCTGCAAGTTTTCTGTCTCGGATTTGGTTTGTAGAGAAGTTCTTGTCTACTGTCACTCGTGCACTCGCTTCTGTCTACAGGGTTGGTCGGGAACTAGCGGAGCCTCTGGGTAGCTTTCATCGCTTGCTCCCCATTCATGGTCGTCAGCCCCGATATCAAATAAAGCCTCCACATGCAGGGCCGATGACAGTCAGCAGGTCACGCGACAGTTAAACCTGGAAGTCACGACCACGAGCCGTGCACATATCCGGGGCCAGAGATTTGAATTGGCTTCCTGTAAAATCGAAATTCTTTGAGAGAAGTTGGGGATTGTGAATCGGATCTGGCCGTCATCACGGAGCACATAATTGTTCCCCTAGGGGGTGTCGGGGGCAAATTATATCGTTCCTTGACGCTTGCCAGCTAGGGCATTTGCTCTGAGGCTGACACACTGCCGTGCGCCGCCGGGCCCACTGGCACCCGAGATGCACGGCACCGGGTGTTAAGACTGCCCTGGCAGGGCCGTCAACCGTGCTGATGACGTGCCAGGGTGGCAGATCGTCACCGGGCACCGTACATTGAGCCTCGGAGAGTGACCGGATAGGGTTGGTGCTCACTGTCTTTTGGTCGGAGAGCCTTGCGAGAGTCTTGCCACTCTCTGGTCAAAGCAAACTGACTGAAGCCTCCTCGCCCTCTCAGGATCTCAGGATCACCTGAGACGGCGAGGCCGAGAGACCATCCAGCGCTGCCGTTTCCTTGTTCGCCAAGCGACCCGCCAGCCACCAAAGAAAGCGCAACCGGCATCATCCTGCAGGAGTCCATCAGTGCTCAGCGGCTGGCGATGATGGGAAGAAAGGCCTTTGGCTGGACGTGCTGAGCAGATGCGTTACCCGGTATCCCAAAATCCCCTACGATCTTCAGGGCCATGTTGGGAAACGTTTTTTGCCTGGTCAGTGCCGGGAACGCCTTGCACGTGGACGCGGCATCTCACACCTGAATCTTTGATGAGGGTACTGAGGACGGCATTGCACTTCTCATGCGCATCAAACGGGCTGCGGTGCCTGCAGGTTGCCATGTGTGTGGTCCCCCCAGGATGACGGAGGAGATGTTGGCATTAATCACAGTGCGGCAGGAGGTCAATCGGAAGTCCATGAAGAAACTTGTCAGCTGCAGCCACTGACCAAGCTTATGGGCTGCTGCTCAAAGATCCCAAGGTTTGTACTTTCCCTAATTGAGTGTCGGTAAACTGAGACAGAAGTTCATCAACCGGATGGCCTGGTACTCGAAGTTGAGTAGAGTAGATGGAGTGATCTGCCAACAAGGATTGCTGACACTTGGAAAGGTTAGCCTGAATACTGCGGAACCGAGGAAAAACTGCAGGAGGGATTGAGCCGTGAGCACCCTCGCTGGGCTGGGATGAGAAACACACTGCCAGATGTCCCACATTATGCAGGCGAGGGGACTGTACCCCTTCACTAATACTAAGTCGTCTCCTTGACGATTCGGTTGTTGGCGCTTACCTTGCTGTGCCCGCTGTCATGTAGCTCGCCCCATCCCAGCAGATCCTATTCTTGACTGCTGCGTGGCATCATGCGGACCGCCTCTATTTCCCTGCGCTTGGCCATCTTGTTCAAGAGAAACACGCTCTTCTAATTTCAACAAGGTCTCCTATCTCCCTTGGGGGAAATGTTAGATACGGTAGCTCACCTCCCAGCAGGTCTGGCGTAAATTGTAGCGCACTCTTCCTTTTATCAATCGTCTGGCGATTGAAGTGTTTGGTCGTGGTAATAGAGGGATTGCGAGCAAGCAGTTCCGGAAGCTTGTGAGGGCCCTGCTGAGCAAAGAGAGGGAGGGCTTTGTCCCACACAAGGCATGTCTTGTGGACACAGGTTACGAAAGAGTGATGCCGCGCCGAAATCCGCACCAGGGTCCTCAGGGAAAAAGTTTGCAGGTTGAGGAGGGGGTGGTGGGGGTGTGGGATGTACTGTGGGCTGATCATTGGTTGTCCTCGGTAAAGCGGGTCGATGAAATCTTGCCTGCTTCCTCCGGCTGTCGTCCTACGGAAGAGAAGCTGAAGGGAAAGATTGCCTACCCGTCAAACCCGGCGTGCCAGAGAGTAAAGGTGATCAACAACAGAAGTGTGACGATGGAGGACGGCAGTCAGCTTGATGGTAACGGCTGGCACGGATTGTGCCGTTGGAGTGTTGACTGAACATAACAATAAAACCCCGGCCGGACCTAACTAATCAACATCAATTTCAGCAATTCCCAGCAGATTTCAGTGCTATAGCGAAAAATTCTGAACATGACAACAAAATCTCTCCCAGCAATTCCCAGCGACTAGCAAAGAATTCATGCATCATCTAAAATATTTTCCAAGCGCTCTGCGATCACCAAGCGAGGGCGGCAGGGAACGAGGTAGCAATGACGGGGGGGGAGGGAAGGCATAGTAGCCTGATGTCAAGTGGAAGGGAGAGGAGAGGAGTCTCGTCCTGGAGATCAGTTATGTTGGTCCAATCTTGTGTCCATCAGTGTTGGGGGGAAAGCTCGAGGCTGACAGAGCACTCTGTTGCAGGGGGAAGTTGGACATGGTTGGTAAGAAGTCAAGGTTTGTTGCGGCAGCGATCTCTCGACGTGCGCCTTCTCATAGGTACGCAGGAAGGGCAGAGCTGCTGCAAACTCTGATGAAGCTGAGCACGAGGCTGCCGCAAGCTCTCAGGTTGGCAACCGACACGACCCTCGCACTGAAGCTCACTGTTCTTGACAGAGTGAGAAGACGCTCTACGACCTGCTCAACGTATGCATGATTGACAATGAAGGCGAGCGTGCTTGTGAAGTGTGAGATGTAGGTTAGCAAGGATGCCTCCATGTCCGAGATCAAGAAGGTGAGTGCTCCGTCTCTGCCGCTAGACCTCAACGATGAGTTTGGGGTTTCCAGGCATATCACAAACTCGCCATCGAATGTCATCCTGACAAGCGACCTGACGATCCAGAGGGTATGGAATGAAGTCCTTGCCTTGATGGAGTTTAACAGTCTTGTAGCTAAAGAGAAGTTCCAACAGCTGCAAAAAGTGAAGGAAATTTTGCTAGACGAGGAAAAGAGAAAAGTATACGATGGTACCGGACAACAGCAAGTTTGGTTCCAACCGCATAAAGCTAAGATCATGTGCAGAGACAGGCGTCGTTCCGGAAGATGGCTGCTTTGATGGACTCCAAGGAAAGTCCTTTGCCGGTACAGATGTACGATTTGCCGGACGTGTATTCACTTCGAAACATAGAGCTTTACGAATACTATCGGGCAATTTACCAACCTGTTACCGAAGAAGATTATCAGGTGATTCATTCGAAGATACCTCAACTGTATTGATACATATGTGCAGTCTTGGGAGAAGAAGTACCCTGGAAGCGAGGAAGAGAAACAAGACGTTGCAGCGTAACTTTCATATTGTTTGGCATATTTCGATCGTGATGAATCTTGCGCAGATTCTACAAAAAGAAGGCTGGTAACATGTCACGGGTGAGTGATTGGAGTTTTCTCTTTCGATCCGAATGACGATTTCAATCAATCAAGGTATGTGCTTACATTCCATTCTGCGAGGAAGAAGATTGCTGGAGGATCAAAACGGTGAAATTATCAAACATGGCGATGCAGCATTGCTTGGCAAAAAGAAGACCGAGCAGTGACATTGAAATGATTTGAATCAGATCATAGATGAGATGATTCAGAAAGGAGAACTGGAGGTGAGAGGATAATATTTGGGTTGATCGAAGGTTGAATTGTGGACCAGGAGACAGCAGCTTACAAGAAGTTCAAACCCAAGCAATACCCCGAAGAAGAAGTCATTTCAAAGATCCTCTCCGTGCTGTGCTTCTGACTTTGGGGTTCCCTAAGTGAAGAAGATCAAGAGCGAAAGAGCTCCCGAGGAAGGTTGGGAAGAGGCGAAGGATGAGTTGGAGTCCAAGAAAAGAAACTCAATGGACGATCTTGCTGCGCTCATCTTGGTACGTTGACCATGCCCGTGTCTGCCTGTGATCTGTGGTCTAGGCGAAGAGACGCTATTATTGAACATGAAGTACTCCAAGGTGCGGCTCCCAGCTTCTTCCTTTTTGCACATCCAATCAATTTCTGCAGGGTAAGAGCAAACCGCCGGGGCCACTTGGCCAGGCCTACCAGGTGCCTCGAGTCGCTCCGGGCTACCAGGCTCCGGGCCGTCACCCGGCCCCGCCGGGAACTTAGTTCGCAGTTGAAGGATTTCACTTAACTTTGAGTAAAGTCACACACCGGGCCTCAAAATCGCTCGGACGAGTTCCGGCTGGCGGGAAATTTCAAACGCGGTTCGCACCGCGATCACCAATGCGAGAGCGGCAGGGAACGAGGCAGCAGTGACGGGGGGGGAGGGAAGGCGTAGTAGCCTGATGTCAAGTGAAAGGGAGAGGAGAGGAGTCTCGTCCTGGAGATCAGTTATGTTGGTCCAATCTTGTGCCCATCAGTGTTGGGAGGAAAGCTCGAGGCTGACAGAGCACTCTGCTGCAGGGGGAAGTTGGACATGGTTGGTAAGAAGTCAAGGTTTGTTGCGGCAGCGATCTCTCGACGTGCGCCTTCTCATCGGTACGCAGGAAGGGCAGAGCTGCTGCAAACTCTGATGAAGCTGAGCACGAGGCTGCCGCAAGCTCTCAGGTTGGCAACCGACACGACCATCGCACTGAAGCTCACTGTTCTTGACAGAGTGAGAAGACGCTCTACGACCTGCTCAACGTATGCATGATTGACAATGAAGGCGAGCGTGCTTGTGAAGTGTGAGATGTAGGTTAGCAAGGATGCCTCCATGTCCGAGATCAAGAAGGTGAGTGCTCCGTCCCTGCCACTAGACCTCAAGGATGAGTTTGGGGTTTCCAGGCATATCACAAACTCGCCATCGAATGTCATCCTGACAAGCGACCTGACGATCCAGAGGGTATGGAATGAAGTCCTTGCCTTGATGGAGTTAACAGTCTTGTAGCTAAAGAGAAGTTCCAACAGCTGCAAAAAGTGAAGGAAATTTTGCTAGACGAGGAAAAGAGAAAAGTATACGATGGTACCGGACAACAGCAAGTTTGGTTCCAACCGCATAAAGCTAAGATCATGTGCAGAGACAGGCGTCGTTCCGGGAGATGGCTGCTTTGATGGACTCCAAGGAAAGTCCTTTGCCGGTACAGATGTACGATTTGCCGGACGTGTATTCACTTCGAAACATAGAGCTTTACGAATACTATCGGGCAATTTACCAACCTGTTACCGAAGAAGAGTATCAGGTGATTCATTCGAAGATACCTCAACTGTGTTCATTCATATGTGCAGTCTTGGGAGAAGAAGTACCCTGGAAGCGAGGAAGAGAAACAAGACGTTGCAGCGTAACTTTCATATTGTTTGGCATATTTCGATCGTGATGAATCTTGCGCAGATTCTACAAAAAGAAGGCTGGTAACATGTCACGGGTGAGTGATTGGAGTTTTCTCTTTCGATCCGAATGACGATTTCAATCAATCAAGGTGTGTGATTACATTCCATTCTGCGAGGAAGAAGATTGCTGGAGGATCAAAACGGTGAAATTATCAAACATGGCGATGCAGCATTGCTTGGCAAAAAGAAGACCGAGCAGTGACATTGAAATGATTTGAATCAGATCATAGATGAGATGATTCAGAAAGGAGAACTGGAGGTGAGAGGATAATATTTGGGTTGATCGAAGGTTGAATTGTGGACCAGGAGACAGCAGCTTACAAGAAGTTCAAACCCAAGCAATACTCCGAAGAAGAAGTCATTTCAAAGATTCTCTCTGTGCTGTGCTTCTGACTTTATGGTTCCCTAGGTGAAGAAGATCAAGAGCGAAAGAGCTCCCGAGGAAGGTTGGGAAGAGGCGAAGGATGAGTTGGAGTCCAAGAAAAGAAACTCGATGGACGATCTTGCTGCGCTCATCTTGGTACGTTGACCATGCCCGTGTCTGCCTGTGATCTGTGGTCTAGGCGAAGAGGCGCGAGAGAGAATCTGCCTTCGATGGCATGATAGGTGCCATGGAAATGAAGTACTCCAAGGTGCGGCTCCCAGCTTCTTCCTTCAAGTTTTGCATATCCAATTTTTGCAGGGTAAGAGCAAAACCAAGGGCAAGCGATGAACTGAATGAAGTCCGTCAGTCGAGTCTTCTTAAGCAGAGTCTGTGTATTCCCCCGTATCATCATAGTAAAGCCCCACATGTAGATTGTGACCGTGGAGTAAAGATTTATTCAGCCATGGCTGCGCCCACCGTGACAGCCTCCGCTCGGCCGCCTCAGTACGGTAGTACCGTACTATGACGCCGGACCGCAACTGTCCGGTCTGCTGAGTGCGGCAACCGTGAACTTGCCGGCCCGGGCGGCGGCGGCCGACTCGGATCCGGGTCGGCCCGAGTTGATGCGGCCCGGCAGCCCCGGCCGGGTTTGATCCGCCCCGGGGTATAAAACATATAAGGAATGGCGAAGGTGAGTCGTGACGACTGCCACAGGAGCAGGAGCAGGAGCAGGAGCAGGAGTAGGAGCAGGAGCAGGAGCAGGAGCAGGAGCAGGAGCAGGAGCAGGAGCAGCAGGATTACATTGAGGACGATGGTTCGTTAGTATCGAGGAGAGGGCGGCAGGGAGGATGATGAAAAAACTAGACCATAGAATATCAAAGTTAAAGCAACCATGCTACGAGTAGAGTCAGCAAGGACTCAAACTCGAAGACAAGGCTGCTGACAAAGAGCAACAGTGAATAGTCAATGTCGGGATACAGGGATCAACAATAGGACTGAAACATCTTCCCCGACAAGATAAAAACACTCACAAAGTTGTTGATTTGATGAACTTTGCAGAATGTCTTTCTGCTGGGTCTGCTGGGTCTCGTTCTTGAATCCGAGGCTTTTGCACCTGGAGGTAGATACCTCCAAATGCAAATAGTGAGTAATCCAGTTTCTTTGAAGGGAATCTAATGAAATCTCTTCTTCGGACACATCCATGGTACTCTTGTATTTCTGGCTCGCTAGATTGTTAAGTCTTGATTCTACCTTTCTCTAGGAAGACATGTCAAGTACTGTATTTGTTTCTGTTGGTGATAGCATGTGACCGATGTCAGTCCCAGATGCCCGCACGCCTCGCCTGTGCTGGGACTCGTCAGACGCTCCGAGCCTCCCAAACCAATCTTCCTGGGCCCAACACTCGAGCAGACGAGCTCGTCAAGGCAAGGAGGATCGGCAGGATGTTTTTCAGCGCGATGACTGTGATGACGAGCAGTGGCTGTGGAACGAGGCTCAGTTCCGCCCTGACTACCCCTCGATCTCGTTGGACTATTTTGCAGATGATGTTGTGTACGAGGCAAACGACAGTCATTGCAAGGCACTTTGGTGACTTTGCGATCAGGATATGGTGTACTCCGAGCCTTTCGTAGGGAAGGACGCAGTAAGGGGTAGCCGGGCTGCACTGTCAACGTTCTCCTCCCTGACATTTCCCCCAGAGTTTCTGCTCAAGACCAAGGAAATGGCTCCTCCTGACTTTGTATTTGTCGTCGACAGGGTGAGTAGCAGCAAGACAAGATTAGTGTTCCTGATATCAAGTACAGGTCTCCGACGGCGTTAGGAGCTGCGGGCTGACTTGGCACATCGAGTGCGAACCCATGCCTCCGAAGATGTGTGAAAATTCTTTGACTTGCTGTCCAGGTTGAAGACCCGACCCGATGCAGGGAAGTTTGCCAACGGATGTTCCTTCTACGAGCTCAACAGGTGGAGTCGAGTTTCTTTCTCTTCCATTTACATGCTATGAAATTTTTGCTGAGCCTTGCTGCAGCGAGGGGAAAATCTGCTACATCCGAGACACGGTCCTCCCTTCCGGGGTTGAGATTGTTGGTTGCTGAGTGTCCTGCTCTGCTCTCTAGGTGGAATCTCCTCTCAAGATCGGATCGTTCGGATTGGAAAGATGCGACGAGTCGAGGAGTCGAGGTCTAACGCTGGAGCAGGTACTGGCCAATCTTGCAGCTAAGGCCATCAAAATGACCCCGCCGCCGAGTTAAAGTCATGATCGCTATCGTTGTTTGCTGCTGAGGTGCTGATGGCAAAACAGGCATGTTACTGGAGAAGCATGGAGCAAGAGAAGGAAGGCGGAGGAAGGCGGAGAGGAGGGAGAAGAGGAGGAATACTGGGAGGGTGAGCACCTGGAATATCTTACGAACCAGTACAACTTCGAAGAATTCAAACTTGCTGTTCTCGTCGTTCGAGTTACTGGCGGGCCATTGTCAGAGGGCCCCCACCAAGACTCACGCCTGCCACGTCACCTTGAGGACAACTTGTCCGCGAACTCGTTGCGGGGGGTCTCCCCCTCCTTCCAAAGCTTCGGGATCATGGGAGGCTTCGACGGGGCGGACTGGCGCTGATCCCCTGCCTCCTCCCACCTCCTGCTGTTCACCCGCAAGAACCCCAGCGAGACCGTGGACCCCTCGCTCCCCAGGATGAGAGCCCCGACCTCCTGCAGCCTCATCGGCGACACGTCCACCCCGTCCACCTTCAAGGCACTCAGCACAGGGACGCAGGAAGCACGTCGGGCTCCCTTACCTGCACCAGGACGTCTCCTGGGAAGATCATCTTGCACTTTGCTGCTGGCCCCTCAGGGTGACACCCCGTCACCTTCAAGCCGTTCCTTCCCGTCTCGAACGTGATGCCCACCCCCGCCATGCCCTTGGCTGCCCCGTCAAACCTCCTGGCATGCGGAGTCGGGAACTTTTCGTTTCTCATCGAGCAGCAGGATAAAACTTCACCAAGATCCCCTGCACATTTGTTACCAGCAAACTCAAATGACCGAAAGATTGAATGGATTCAATGCTTTCTCTCGCCCCTCCTGCTTCCATGTGCTCCCTCCCCGCCCCGCCACTCCCCTGCCTGTCCCTTCTTCTCTATGGAGTGTCTCCCTCATTCTCCCTGTTGATCAGTGTCTTCCCATTCTCCCTCCATGTTTCCGCTCCTTTGCTCTTACTTCTACTCTGTCGCTGTGACTCGTCCATTTATCCATCCCTGTTGTTCTCCTCTCCTGTTCCCCTCCCTCCCTTTGTTTCTCCGCCTTTCCTCCTGCTTTCCTCCTGCTTTCCTCCTGCTTTCCTTCATCTCTTTCTCCTCTTTCCCTCCTCCTATTCGTCTCTCCCTGCCTCTCCTCTCCTTCACATGCCCTCGTTTCTCCGCTTACCTAGCATGATGGCGAAACAACTGACAAATTTCCATCACCCATACCCCACACTGTTGGTACCCCTACCCATGAATCTATACCCCACCCCACCCTACTACCACAGTTAACCCACCTTATTCTCAACAATCATACGGAAAAATACAAATGATTCACCACCCCTACCCCTTGTTTTGATTCGATCATCACAGACGTCCCACCCTAATTACCTCACACCCTACCATTGATAACCCCCACCCCCTCAAATTCCTCTCGTTTTACTCCCGGAGTGTCCGTACCCGAAACTCCCGACTCGGGGCCGAGAAACGGTTACAGACCGTTATTAGAAGATTTTTTTGACCGAGAGCCGTTGGTACTACTGCCGCAAGGGATAACGTCTCCCACTGCAAGTTGACCTGGTCAACGTGATGCACCGGCGAACAGAGTGGAGGAGGAGGAGGAGGAGGAGGAGGAGGAGGAGGAGGAGGAGGAGGAGGAGGAGGAGGAGGAGGAGGAGGAGGAGGAGGAGGAGGAGGAGGAGGAGGAGGAGACGC